GATACAGCGCGCTATTATCCTTCTGCCGCCTGTTTTTATTATTATTAAACAAACATAACGAGAAAACCTTTGCTGCTCTTGACTGAAGGACTGCTGTAGCTAAAGTGTTTTTCTTACAGTGAAGATGCTTAAAGCACAGTTTGTTTCATATTTTTTTTCTATTGTATTTATTTCTCTTTCCATTGCAGGGTGGAAAATAACTGTATGTATACAGTTGAAGTCAGAATTATTAGCCCTCTTGAATATAAGCAAACCTTTTCCTGCCCAATTTCTGTTTCATGGAAAGAATATTTTATTAACTTATTTCTGAACATAATAGTTTTGATATCTCATTTCTAATTACTGATTTCTTTTTGTCTATGTCTATAATAGACAGCACATATATATATTTCTAGATATATATCTATATACATGCATATAGATATATATATATATATATATATATATATATATATATATATATATATATATATATATATTTTTTTTTTTTTAATCTAATGCTTTTTAAATGTTACGTGTTAGGAGAGCATTCAAAGTAACATTTGCATATTATTAGCATAATTATAATGTCAAAATAATGCATTCATAACTTTTTAATATTAATATATATTAACATATTAATTAAATATTTGAATATTAATATATTTTGGGTTTTGCTTCTGTTTCTCACCTCGTTCAGAAAGATTATAGGGAAGATGGTGCTTTCTAGATTCCTGGTCATACTGAGGAAACAAAACACAAAGAGCTATAAATTATACAACACACACAAACACACACACACACACACACACACACACACACACACACACACACACACACACACACACACACACACAGCTGTTTATGATTAAATCAAGATTAAATATATCACATACGGAAATCCCGTGACTCTCTCAAGATGAATGTTGATCTGAGCTCTTTTCATGGCACGAACAGGCACTCCCATAGTCTGAGAAACACACACAAAACATCAACACTGACCAAAATAATTTATGAATACTGGAAATAAATGACTAAATGACAAATGACTGATTTAAGAAGATACAGACGAGAAACAAGTCAAACGATAAGTGCATTTCATAAAATAAGAAAACAGTGCAAATCAATGCATTTCTCCCTTGTTTTTGTCTTGTTTCTAGTACAAATATCTACAAGATCTTAAATAAAGAAGCATTTTCTAGACAAGTGAAATAATTTCCAGAAATAATGAGTCTGAGTTTGTTCTTAATGTAAGAAAAATATTCTTGTTTTTACGCTTTGTAATAAGATGATCTTACTCATGCTATTGGCAGATTATTTTTGCTTGTTTTTAAGGAAAACCTCTTAGAATAGATGATTTAGTTAAAAAAAAATAAAAATAAAAAAAAATTCAACAAGCTACTGGAAATATTCCTCAGAGATTTTGCTCCATATTGTCATGATAGCATCACACAGTTGCTGCAGATTTGTCGGCTGCACATCCATGATGCCAATCTCCCGTTCCACCACATCCTAAAGCTGCTCTATTGGATTGAGCTCTGGTGACCGTGGAGGCCATTTGAGTACAGTGAACTCATCGTCATGTTCACCAGTCTGAGATGATTGAGCTTTATGACATGCTGCGTTATCCTGCTGGAAGTAGCCATCAGAAGATGGAGACACTGTGCTCATAAAGGGATGGACATGGTCAGCAGCAATACTCAGGTAGGCTGTGGCGTTGATGCTCAATTGGTACTAATGGACCCAAAGAAAATCTCCCCCACACACTGAACCGCTGATACAAGGCAGGATGGATCCATGCTTTTATGCTGTTGAGGTCAAATTGTGAGCCGAGCATCTGAATGTGTCAGCAGAAATGGAGACTCATCAGAGCAGCAACGTTTCTCCAATCTTCTATTGTCCAGTTTTGGTGAGCCTGTGTGAATTGTAGCCTCAGTTTCCTGTTCTTAGCTGACAGGAGCGGCACCCGATGTGGTCTTCTGCTGCTGTAGCCCATCCGCCTCAAGGTTGGCCGTGTTGTGTGTTCAGAGATGCTCTTCTGCAGAGCTCGGTTGTAGCGAGTGCTTATTTGAGTCACTGTTGCCTTTCTATCAGCTGGAACCAGTCTGGCCATTCTCCTCTGACCTCTGGCCTCATCAACAAGGCATTTGCGCCCACAGAACTGCCGATCACTGGATATTTCCTCTGTGTCGGAGCATTCTCTGTAAACCCTAGAGATGGTTGTGCGTGGAAATCCCAGTAGATCAGCAGTTTCTGAAATACTCAGAGCAGCCCATCTGGCAGCAACAACCATGCCACGTTCAAAGTCTCTTAAATCCCCTTTCTTCCCCATTCTGATGCTCGCTTTGAATGCCTAACGATAGAACTACAATCAGTTAGACAGGTGTACCTAATAAAATGGCCAGTTGGTTGTCTAGAAAATGCTTCTTGATTTAAGAATTTTTAGATATTTAAACCAGAAACAAGACAAAAACTTTTGCAGTTAAAGCTTTACTAACTAAGAAAAAAGACAAAAACTCCTAAAACAACAATCTTACTCAATCTAATCTTGCAGAGTGTTTTATTCTTATATCAAGATCATTAAGATGTTTTGATTGTAACTCTGGCTAGATAAATTGTTTTGTTTTTTTGCAGTGAACCACTTTAGACAGGAAAAAATATATTAGGGGAAAAACATTCCTCGTCAAATGTAGCGTATCCAAGCCAATCAGAAATCAGAAAGCACTTTGGACAGGAAAGAACAGATTAAACGTGTGTTATCAGACTTACAGGGTTCAGATCCAGGAAGGTCTGATGCTGCTCGTGGACTGGAGAAAGACCCTCCACAGCCTGGACGTATTTCTCATCACCCAGATGAAAATGAGGGAAAGAAACGACTACAGGAGCACCTGGAAAAATAAACAACAGAAAATCATCATGATTATTGCAGCTCATAATTCACACCAAAATCATGCAGGTTTACGCATGGCAGACTCTTTTATTTAAAGCTAAATATGCTGCATTCAATATTTTAATTTAAATGTGAATAAATCAAAATAAATAAATGAATGAAAAATGAATGAATATATATATATATATATATATATATATATTAATAATAAATTAAATAAATCATTAAAAATCATTTAAACATTAAATATCAATAATAATACAATATTATTAAGCAATACTTTATTATTATCATAATAATTATTATTATTATTATAAATAACAAATAAAACAAACTTATCAAAAGTGAAAACACTGTATTCAAGTTAAACACTAAAAATAAATTAACATAAATTATAATATTTTAATTCACTTTATTATTATAAAGCAATATATATAATATCATTAATAGATATTAGAATTATAATATTACTATAATATTATATTCTTAATATATTATATTTTATATATAATATATATTATATATTTATAAATAAATATACATATATACATATAAATACATAAAACTATTATCTGAAGTGAAAAAAACCTGCATTTAAGACAATTAAATAAATATGAATAAATCTAAAATCATTTTAATATTATATATCAATGATATTATAAATACATATTATATTAATAATGCGACAAATAATACAAATACAAATAAGCAAAATTATTATCTGAAATTAACTAAATGTAATAGATAAATAATAAATTAATGAATATATATATATATATACACACACACACACACACACACACACATATATATATATATATATATATATATATATATATATATATATATATTACAAATAATAAATATACAAAAATATTTTTCTTAAGTGAAATAGATTGCATTCAAGAAAAACATTTAAATGTAAATAAATAAATATTAATAATAACAAATAAATTAATTGAAATATTATTTATCAATAATATAATACCAATTATACAATGACTTTTTCTAATTACCCTTAATTGCCTAATTAACCTAATTAAGCCTTTAAATGTCACTTTATTAAGTAAATAAATAAAAAATATTAACAATAATATATTATTCATTTTATTATTTTATATCAATATTAATATAATATTATTAATAAATATATTATTAATGCTACAAATAATAAATATATACATATGCAGAATTATCATCTGAAGTGAAATACACTGCAAATACACTACACCCTACACTGATAATCATTTAAATGATAACTAATAAACTAATTAATATTAATAAATTATATATTATAATTATAATATTATTATTATTATAATAAATATTACAAATAATAAATATACAAAAGTATTATTTAAAGTAAAATACATTGCATTAATGATAAACATTTAAATGTGAATAAATTAATATTCGTAATAAAATATAAATTAATTGTAATATTATATATCAATAATATAATATCACTATAATATATTTTCAGTTAAACAGAAATGTTTAGGCGGGGGTTATTAACAGGAGGGCTAATAATTTTGTATATTACATATTATATACAATTATAATTAATAAATAGATTCGATAAATTAAATTAACTATATGATAAAAGTTTATATCTTTTTAGTTTCTTCCACTATTCCCTCACCATTAAATAAATAAATACATTTTCAGAAATAGCATCCGGTGTGAAACATGATCAGCGGCTCTATAAACACACAGATGATCTAACAACCAGTTCAGTTCATCACCATCGCTAAGATCATAATTAAACATGCACTACACCAAACATGATGAGAGTAAAAGCGCAGTGTTTTGCCCTTTCACACACTTCCCCCTTTCTAAAGTCACTGACCCTGTAATGTCCCTGAAACCCACATCACCAGTGTTTTAGCAGGAATAACAATGCTTTAACAATGCTTTCTTTAATACGAGCCCCATGAGACGTCAGGCCTGTCCTGTTGTGTTTTTTTTTCCATGTCGTGATGTTAAAAAGGGAAGGAACCCAGTCTCACAAGAACATGACGCGACCTTTGACCTTCAGCATGAAAAAACAATCAGGAGTGACTGCGAGTGACTAGAAGCTAAAAAACGCCTTGTTCTCAACACATGAGGGGAAATGAGACTCCAGCGTTACTGGGACAGAGGTGAGCGTTTTCCAGCGCTTCTGTTTGACAACACACACACACACACTCGCTCTGTGAGTGTGTGTCATTCCATACACCTGTAATGCGGGAGAGCACAAATGCTTTGGCAATATTACAATCGTGGTGCTGACGCTCACATGAGCACAGCGTGACTGAGAACGGTAATAAAACACAAACACTGATATGACCTGAGAGGAAATCAGCTGTTGTGTGTTTATGTTTCACTTCATGCTTCCCAGTAATACTCAGAAGTGACTAGACCTGTTAACAAACAACCGATACAATGCTAAATAATGCTTAAGCCCTACCTAGAAACGGCATAGCAACACCCTAAAACATGTGAAATACGCTAGAAATGGCATAACAGCACCTGAAAATACGCAAAATACCATAGAACAGCATAGCAACACCCTAAGACACATGAAATACCCTTGAAATGGTATATCAACAGCCTAAAACCCTTGTGATACCCTCACAACTGGTTTAAAATACTTTGAACAACCTAGCAACAGCATATCAACAACATAAAACAACTGAAACATTATAGAAACTGCATAATGACAGCTTAAAAACGTTGGGACACATTAACAACTGGCTAAAAAAACACATTGAACACTCTGGAAACAGCACAGCAACACGCTATAACAATTGAACACCCTAGAAACAGCATAGCAACAGCCTAAAACCCTTTACATACCCTCACAATTGGCTTAAAAACATGTTTAACACCCTAGCAACAGCATAACAACATGCTATAGCAAACAAAACACCATAGAAACTGTTTAACGTTTACAACACTTGAAAAAAACCCAAAAACTGCATTTTAACAGGCTAACAAAATTGGGACATCATAACAACTGGCTTAAAAGCTCATTGAACTCCCTAGCAATGGGATAGCAACCCCTAAAACACCTAAAATAACCCCGAAACACATTGGAAACATCCTGACCTAGATCAAAAATGACAGTCTAAAACACATGAAAGACCCTAAAACTGCATCTGCAACTGCCTAAAACACTTGGAACATGTTAAAAACACTTTGAACACCCTAGCAACAGCATATCATCACCCTAAAACACTTGAAATACCCTAGAAACTGCATAGCAACAGCCTAAAATTCTTGGAACAGCCTAAAAAACACATTAGCAACAGCAAAGCAACACCCTAAAACAAATGAAACAACCGGAAAACAGCACAGCGACAGTCTAAAACAATTGACACACTCTAAAAACTGCATAATGGCAGCCTAAAACTCTTGGGACACCCTAACAACTGGCTTAAAAACATTTTAAACACCCTAGCAACAGCTCAGCAAAACGCTATAACAATTGAACGCCCTAGAAACCGCATAGCAACAGTCTAAAACACTTGAAACACACTAGAAACCACATAGAAACAGCCTAAAACCTTTGAGATACCCTCACAACTAGTTTAAAAACACTTTTAACATCCCAGAAACAGCATAGCAACACCCCAAAACAATTGAAACACCGTAGAAACTACATAATGACAGTCTAAAACACTTGAAACACCCCAAAAACATTTTTTTGTGCTTTTTATCAGGCTAAAAACAAATGGGAGAGCATACCAACTGGCCTAAACACAGGTTGAATACCCTAGCAACAGTATAGCAACACTCTAAAACAATTGAAACACTAAAACTGCATGATGACGTCCTAAAACACTTAGCAACCCTAAAAACTGGCTTAAAAACAAAAACACTGACATGACCCGTGAGGAAATCAGCTGTTGTGTGTTTATGTTTCACTTTATGCTTCACAGTATGCTAAATAATGCTTAATTAGGACTGTTTGTACAGAAGGCCAGATGAAAAGCATTTGGAATCGATGAATGTGCAATATTTATCATCTACAATACTGGGGTGAATGTTCTTTAACAAAAGTGCAAGCTGACATGATCAGGAATGTCACTCGCTGTGCCAAAAACTGATTAAAATGCTCATGTTCAGAATGCATGAATCTCTCAGAACTAGACACTTCATAAAAACAGTCTACAAACACTTGACACACCCTATTAATTGCATAGCATTAGCCTAAAACACTTGGGACACCCTAACATCTGGCTTACAGTCTTTTTGAGCACCCTAGCAACAGCATAGCAACACCCTAAAACAATTGAAACACCCTAAAAACAGCATAGCAATAGTCTAAAACACTTGAAACACCTTAAAACAACACCGAAAACCATTGGAACACTGACAACAGGCTAAAAACACGTGAAGTACAACAACTGCATAACGACAACCTAAACCACTTGAAATGCACTAGAATCTGCACAGTGGCAGTCTACAACTCCAGGAATACCATAATAACTGCATAGCAACTGCTTAAAAAAGTTGGTAAATCATAACAAGTAAGGAAAAACACGTAGAACACCCCAGAAACTAACTAAAACACTAAGAAGACCCTAGCAACTGACTAAAACCTTTGGAACACAATTGGAATAACCTGTTGGGAAAACACTTGGAACACCCTAGCAAAAGAGCCTAAAACTCTTGGAACACCCTAGCAAAAGAGCCTAAAACTCCTGGAAGACCCTAGCAAAAGAGACTAAAACTTCTGAAACACCCTAGCAAAAGAGCCTAAAACTTCTGAAACACCCTAGCAAAAGAGACTAAAACTCCTGGAAGACCCTAGCAAAAGAGCCTAAAACTCCTGAAACACCCTTGGAACTGACTAAAGCAATTGTAACACCCTAAAAATCACATAATAGTTGGAAAAACAACATCTTTACAAATTTGGAACATACTAACAAGTAGGGTAAAACACTTGGAACACTCTAAAAACTGGCCAAAATCTAAGAAGACCCTAGCAACTGACTAAAACTCTTGGAACACTCCAACTGAGTAAACAATTGGAACACCCTAACTACATCACACCCTACAACATTTGGAATACCCTGGTAACTGCATAGCAACAGCTTTGAATTGTTGGAACTTCCTAATAAATGGGGAAACACTTGGAACACCCTAGAAAAACACAAAAACAGCAGCAACTCCCTAGCAAAATAGACTAAAACCCCTGGAACACCATAAGAACTGACTAAAGCAATTGAAACACCATAGATTAGTAATAAACACCCTAAAACAATTGAAAAAAATAACAGCTTTACAAATTTGGAACATTCTAAACAAGTGGGGTAAAACACTTGGGACACCCTAAAAACTGACCAAACACTAAGGGTGCGTTCACATCTGTAGTTCGCTTCATTTGGTCCGGACCAAGGGTAATAAATGATACATTGTTGCATCTTCTGCCGTCTTTGGGTGGTTTTCACACCACACTGCTGGCTTTGGTCCGAACCAGTTGAAACGAACCAAAATGCAGTCATCTGACAAAATCCACATCTCTCATTGGCCAGATGTTGTTGAACGTATTTACTAAACTGCTTATTGATTGGTCAGAATTCACATGCGGGAAAACGCCAGTGAACTCCTGCAAGTAAATATAAAACCAGCAGACACGAAATGTCGTTTTTACTCTGGAGGGACGACTGCGCTGACTGATTGTATCCCTGCTTTAGACAAACTATACATTTTAAAAATGAAGTGCGGCTGCGGCTAAGAAAATATTGTTTTAATGCGTCGCTCGTCACTTCAGGAGGAGGCGTAAATTAATTTAGCTAAACTGCAACATGCTCATCTTGCGGAAATAATACCAACGATGCATCAGCTAATGTTTTCCCCTCTCTCTCTCTCTGTTGGTAAAGCGTTGTCAACAAATATTTTTCCTCCATATCCCATAATGCACAGCGCATCGGCCTACGGCAGCTGGATTAGTCCTAAAGGCGCAGTACTTTTTGTGGTTGGACCTGTTTTAGTACGGATCATATTCTCACCACAAACGAACCGCTCCAGGGTTCGTTTGAAAGCGTACCGAGACCACCTCTTCAAGCAGGTCTCGGTACGCTTATTTGGTCCACTTTTGGTGCACACTCGAGTACAATTGCTGCATTCTCACCTGCCCAAACCAACCGCACCTAAAGGAAAAATGAACTCTAGTGCGATTCAATCGAACTAAATATATCAGGTGTGAAAGCACTCTAAGAAGACCATAGCAACTGACTAAAACTCTTGGAACACTCTTAACATCTAGCTAAACAATTAACAATTGGAATAACCTAGTAAATTTGGAAAAAAAACTAACAAGTGGGGAAAACACTTGGAACACCCTAGAAATGAAACAATATCCAAAATCAATTGGAATAACCTGGCAACTGGCAACAAATTTAAAACATCATAACAAGTGGGGAAAACACTTGCAACATCCAAGAAACTGGCTAAAACACTAAGAAGACCCTAGCAACCAACGAAACACCTGGAATACCCTAATAACAGACTAAACAATTGGAACACCCGAAAAACTACATTACATTCTAAAACCCTTCAAACACCATTTTATCTGCATACCAACAGCTTTAAAGCAAGTTGGGGGCGATGTGGTGGTGCAGTAGGTAGTGCTGTCGCCTCACAGCAAGAAAGTCGCTGGTTCGAAATTTCAGCTGGGTCAATAGGCGTTTCTTTGTGGAGTTTGCATGTTCTCCCTGCGCTTGCGTGGGTTTCCTCTGGGTGCTTCCTCCACAGTCCAAATACATGCACTATAGAGCAATTGGGTAGGCTAAATTGTCTGTAGTGTATGAGTGTGAATGAGTATGTATAGATGTTTCCCAGAGATGGGTTGCAGCTGGAAGGGCATACACTGTGTAAAACATATGCTGGATAAGTTAGCGGTTCATTCCGCTGTGGTGACGCCAGACTAATAAAGGAACTAAGCCGAAAAAATAAATAAATGAATGTATAAAACAAGTTGGAACATCCTAACAAGTGGGGGAAACACTTGGAACACTGTAGCAAAAGAGGCTAAACACTTGGAACACTGTAGGAACTGACAAAACAATTGGAACACCCTAGAAATGGCATGACACCCTAAAACAATTGGAATACCCTGGCGACTGCATAGCAGTAGCTTTACAAATTTGGAACGTTCAAACAAGTGGGGAAAAAACTTGGAAAATCCTAGAAAGAGGCTAAAACAACTAGAACACCCTAGAAAAAAGAGACTTAAACTCCTGAAACACCCTAGAAATTACATAATACCTTAAACCAATTAGAACATTATGGCGACTACATAGCAGCAGCTTTACCAATTTGGAACATCCTAACACTTGGAACACTCGAAAGACAAGAAACTACATTACATCCTAGAACACTTGGAATACAATTGTAACTACATAAGAACAGCCTAGAACACCCTAACAACTGGCTTAAACACCCAGAAAGCCCTAGCAACTACATAGAAACAACCTTAAATAATTAGAACACCCAAACAGCTTCAAATCACCTTGAAGATTGTTGAAACTGAACATCAAATTGATCTATAAAATGTAGAGAATTACGCATGTAATGATTATTATGATTTTTTTAGACATGCATTAATGCACCTTGCCGGCACACAGACACGTCCAGCACTCCGTCATCCAGGCATTTCTTGGGCGTGAGGCAGAATCCCTCGTTCTCTGGGTTGTTTGTTCCGCTGGCGAGCACAGCACGGGGCGGCGTGAAGCGATACGCTGGGATTCCCTTCACCTCCACCTCCTTCTCAAAGCGCATGTGGATGGACCTACAGGACCAATGACAAGACAGCAGTCAAAACGCTGAGCAAAATAACTGTACCATTGTGTTTTGGTGCTCTGGACTTGGAAATAATTAAAATAATTAGGACCACATGGAATCTGTGCCCGCAGATTTCCGGTGATTTTGTAGCCCATTATTGAATCTATTTATTTATTTATAAAAAACAAATAAATATATATTTACACACATTTCTATATTAATTTGAGTGATAATAGTGAATAATATGCACTGTAAGAAATTGCTGCAAAATTTACAATATTAATGGCAAATATTAATAATAATATTATTAATAATGAGAATATGATTATTATTATTAATAATAATAATAATGCTAAATTACTTTAACAAAGAAAGAACTATGAAACGATAAATATTACTAGAAAAAAATAGAAAATTACAGAGCAGATATTACATTCTGAACTGCAGATGTTTTATTCAGATTATTTTCTTAATAATAATCAAAATAATAATAGTAATATATTAATAATTATAATTATTATTATTATTATTAATAATAACAATAATTATTTTTTATTAATTGATATACATATTATTCATAACAAATATTCTTATGAATATAAATTATATAAATATTATTATTATAATGCTGAATTTCACATAGAAAGAAACTACGAAATATGACAAATAAAATATCTATATTTTTTATTATATACATGCAGTTTTAAATATTATTATTAATCAAAATATTAATAATGCAGATTTGTTCAAAGTGTTAAAGAAAGAAGAACTATGAAACATAATAAATAATAAATAACTGATATATTTTATTTTACATAAACACACATAGGCATCACAGTGGCACAGTGGGTACCACAATTGCCTCACAGCAAGAAGGTCGCTGGTTCAAGCCTCGGCAGAGTCAGTTGGCATTTCTGTGTGGAGTTTGCATGTTCTCCCGGTGTTGGCGTGGGTTTTCTCTGTGTGCTCCGGTTTTCTCCACAGTCCAAACACATGCGGTACAGGTGAATTGGGTAGGCTAAATTGTCATTAGTGTATGTTTGTGAATGGATGTGTATGGATGTTTCCCAGTGATGGGTTGCAGCTGGAAAGGCATCCGCTGCATTAAACATATGCTAGATAAGTTGGCGGTTCATTCCGCTGTAGCAACCCTAAATTAATTAATTAATAAACACACACACACATGCACACGCGCACACACACACACACACATGCACACACACACACACACACACACACACACACACACACACACACACACACACACACAGAGTTTAACAATCTCCAGGGTGTTTTGTTTTGAGCTGATTATGATCAGGGGAAATTAGTTTTCCAGCAGTCTGCATGATATAATGATGTACAAAGGTTAAACATGACGCTCCCGCGGCCACTTCCCCTTAAAAATAAAATAAAAAATAAAAATACGGGTGAGGAGTCAGAGCAAAAGGACAAGGACAGCTGTTCCCGCCAGCACAATACCCCGCTCTCCATCAACTGGGTTAAAAGTCACTACGGGCAAAAAAACACATGTGTGTGTGACTAAATCAGGTGTAATCGTTTCCGCAGCGAACAAAGACGGGAGTGGAGATCTTTAGGGCAAAAATCCCACTGAAAATAAAGAGCGAGACGAGGGGTCAGCAGGACTGCAGGTCAAAGGTCAAGCAGTGATCAGACAGCAGTTACATCAATAGAGTATTAAATATACAGCGTGCGTCATCATGAGGGATACATCTTTGCCTGACATGAGCAGGAAACTGAGCAGCACTAAAAATATATATAAAAACAAACAAACCTGACATTTTTGAGGTCAGAATGATTCGCTCTCCTGTGATTTTTAATTTGTTTTTGATATTTTTTCTTGATGTTGAACAGATTCAGGAATTTTTCACAGTATTTCCTCTAATATTTGTTCTTCTGGAGAAAGTCTGATTTGTTTTATTTCTGCTAGAAATAATTACCCTAACTTTACCGTAATTAACCTAGTTACGATTTTAAATGTCACTTTAAGCTGTATAGAAGTGTCTTGAAGAATATCTAGTCTAATATTATTTACTGTCATCATGATGAAGAGAAAGAAATAAAAATCTGGAGGAAATAAATAAATCAGTTATTAGAAATGAGTTATTAACACTATTATGATCAGAAATGTGTTAAATAGAAACTGAAAACAAAAAGAACAGGGGGGCGAATAATTCTGACTTCAACTGTTATATTAATAATAATATAAATAAAAATGATAATAATAATAATAATAATAATAATAAACAATTATTAATAATAATAATGCTGAATTACTTTTAAAAAGACAAAAATAAGAAATTTACAAGTTTACAAGAAATGTACACAGCAGATGATAATTCCTTAACTGCATTAATTTGAATAAATCAAACTAGATTAAATGTAATGTTACATAAATGATACAATTTTTTTAATATATATATACTACAATATGTAATATAAAATGCATAAAAGGCACAATAATGAATCATCTCATAATGTTATGAAGTAAATTTACTAACTTATTTATTATTATTAATATTATAATTATTTTACTACAGGAAATGAACAGCTTGTTTTTAATAAAAAAACATAAATACTACTATTAAATGTTGAACTGCATTTAAAAGAAAACTGCATTAAAATAAATAATAATATTTTCAGATAATATATAATATTTAATGAAACAAACAAATTTAAAATTGTAATATGTTTTATACCATTACGTTAATAATTAATTTTACTAAATTTATTATTAATATTATTATTATTTTTATAGTGTGTGTGTGTATGTGCGTGTGTGTCCGTGTGTGTGTGTGTGTGTGTGTGTGCCTGTGTGTGTGTGTGTGTGTGAATGAGTGTGTATGGATGTTTTGCAGTGTTGGGTTGCAGTTGGAAGGGCATCTGCTGCGTATAACATATACTGGATAAGTTGGCAGTTCGTTCCGCTGTGGTGACCCCAGATTAATAAAGGGACTAAACCGAAAAGAAAATGAATGAATGAATGAATTATTAATATTATTTCATTACTGGGAATGAACAATTTGATTAATAAACAAACAAACAAACAAACAAACATAAATAGTTCTATTAAAAAACAAAACTGTAAAAAACAAAAAATATAATATATAATAAAATAGTAATGATATATATTTATATATATATATATATATATATATATATATATATATATATATATATATATATATA